GGCTCCAGGAATCCACAGGTGCAGTTTGCATGGTTTCAAAGCTCGGTGGTTTCAGCGTTCCGGGATCTCAGGGTTCCAGAGCACTCCAGGGTTCCAAGGTTGTAATGTCACAGGGCAAAAGTTCCAAGCTTGCACCAGGATCCCAAGGATGCAGGTGTCCAAGCTTCTAGCATTAATTCCAAGATTTTAGGGTTCCAGGATTCCAGGGCCTATCGTTCCAGGTTTTTCACGGTTCCATGGTTCCAGGATTTAATGACACATGAAGCAGCTTGGCACAGAAAGCGGAGATCAATGCAAACTAATAAAGCAGTTCTCAAACTAGGCTACATCCGCAAGTTTTGTTATGGCTTCTTGAAAGGTTCCTGCAAGACTTCCTGCAAGGCATTCCTGCAAGGGCTCCAGCAAAGGGTTTCTGCAAGGTTCATGCCAGGGTTCCACCAAAGGGTTCCTTCAAAGGTTCAGGCAAAGATCCCAGCATCGCAGTTTCAGCAAGGGACCGCAACATCAATCAAGAAAGAAACAAAACCCAAAGAAAATCTTGAAGTTGTCTTCATATAGGTCCAGACGGGTTGCAAAACAGTTCCAGCAAAGTTCAAGCCAGACTTCCAAAATCACAACCCGGCACATTAAGCGAAGCAAGAAAAAATAAAAAAGGAAAACGATATCCACACCTGCATTGTCTACCAGCAAGAGGGTTTCAAGGAGGTTCCAGCAAGGTTTCACCGGGTTCCAGAAGAGTTCCAGCAATGTTCCAGCGAGATCTCAGCAAGGTTCCAGCAGGGTTCCAACAAGGTTCCAGCGAGTGGAACAAGGTTCCAGCAAAGTTCCAGCAAGGTTCTCACAAGGCCAAGGGTCGTCCCAGCAGCGTTCCGGTTTTCCGGAGCATGCATTTTGCTGGCGCCACCCCCGGACCCAGAGATTGAAACCCAACAGAATCGCTGTTGGGAATATCCAGGTAATCTTGAACAATTCAAGACATACTGTATGTGTTACTGGACATTATTTAACAGCCCACTCCGCCGGCCCTCTGGCCTCTGGCCTACAGGCCCAAAGCAGGGGTTGTGTAAAGCTGGTTGATGTAAAAGGTTGGTTAGATGATGATGATGACGACGACGACGACGAATAAAGTGAGTGCTAATTCCCTTGAGAAAAGAGACGAGGCTAGACCAGACTAGACTATACTAGACTTTGCTAAACTGTACTAGACTTACTAGGCTATAGTCGGGGGGAGGAGGAGGGCAGGGCAGGTCAGCCAAAGCAAAAAATCTTCCGAAGACATGATTTCAGGAAAGCTATAGCAACAGCTACAACTGGCTTTCAACCTAAACCTATAGCCTATAGCTATAGCCATTACAAGTAGGTTTCAGCCTCAAGCTGTAGCTAGAACTAGATTTCACCCTAAAGCAAGAACAAGATCAAGCCATATTGCTGGAGCTAGGGCTAGGCTAAAATCTAGAGCTAAAATAAGAGCAAGGAACTGCTGTAGCTAGGACTAGAACTCCAATTCGAACTAGAACAAGATCAAACTATAACTTTTGTTCGAACTAGAATTCAAAAAAAATCAAACAGAACAAGTTAAAGCTAGGGAGCTATTTCTAACAGAAGCTGAAAAGAAGTTTAACTTATAACACAGGCTAAGTCAGGAGATACTTAGAATTGGGACTCAACCGGACGTGTACCAAGCCTCAACCGAAAGGCTCTACCCAGCCGGAGCCATGCAAGCAAAGCAAAAATCCGTGCAAAAGTAATCTTTAGGTGAAGCTAAAGCTATCACAAGATGCATCGCAAGAATATCAAGAAACCACGCCGGCAGGCCGGCGGATTACATACACATATTTGCTTAAACAAGTTGAATCGCGACTTCTCCAGATGACATCTTTGCCACAGATGAGTTCTCTTCTTGGAAGTGCGAGGAAGTGCTTGTGTGCTTATCAGTCTTTGGGGCGAGTAGTTTCACAAAGTTGTAAGGTTGACACTGGCACTCCTCCATTGGCAGCTGTGTTTGCGTTTCTTGGCCAAGCGGAGCAGTGAATCAGCACACCAGGTGTTTTAAGAAGAAGCAGTGTGGCGCAGCTCCCCTGCACCCAAGGTTGGCTTTTGCCTCGAACTTGTTCGGATCCATCACACCGTACTCATCAGCGCAGGCCTGCGGCTCAGAGATCTCCAGATCGAAGCATCAATATATAAGTGACTTAACAGTGCAGACATTGCATGCATTGCACGGAAAACATAGAAACACATTTTGACGATACTGCGGCTTGAGAGACATGCCTGACAAACATGTCTCATCATGTTCGTATCATTTTCCCCACGCTGGATTGAATTCAAGCAGTCCATTTATGCTTTTGTTGTTTCTGAGGCGCCAGTTTTCTTTGGCGGCGGATACGTTTCCCTGAAAGACTGGTACAGGCTGGTTGCCTAGCAGCTGTGACAACTGCTGTGCAATAATCAACCGTTGTTCTTTGTCACATTCGCCTTGCGCCCAACATAGCGCATCTGCGACTTCCTTAACTGAGGCTGGGGTTCATATTCATTGTCTTCAACATCGCTGTGTGGGTTTCTTGTTCCGCATTTGGAAACAAAAAATGCCGCTGCAGGCAACATATATAGAGCTTGATTTCCCTCCAACCGACATCTTCAATTTGCCAGGTTTCTGTTGGCGCGCTGTGGTGGAAGGTGTGGCTACAGCTACAGAAACGGCTACGGTTTGTTTCGAATGGTTTGCTGTCCCGACCTGGTGAAGGTCATTGGTTTATATTGAACTGGCACGGCGAGACCTGCGGACGACCTTTCGCCTTTGAGGCGGGAAGTCTGATTCAGACCGCAGCAGATGGCTACGATAGCTAAGGGGCTGTGGGAAGACCTTTCAGCTCGCTCACCGCTTTGGATGAAGTTGCTACAGCTGGGTTTCTTGAGGATCGCGCCCCCCAAACTTTGACGTCTGACTCCCTCCATCGAACGGTTTTTCCCCACTTTCCTGAGGGTATCTAGATTTTCACAAAGCACCCCACCTCTCTTCCTTCTCCTTCTTCTTCCCCTTCCCCTTCTCCCTTCGATCCTTCCTCCCTCCCTCCCTCCCTGCCTGCCTGCATTCCTTCCTTCCTCCCTTCCTTCCTTCCTCCCTCCCGTCCTCCTCTTCTGCTCGCCAACTTCCTCGATAGCATGGCAGATAGAAACAGATAGAATGCCAGATAGGATGTCACAATTTATGCGAGGTAGAATGCTAGAGAACATGTCAATTTCATTGTCGGATAGGATGTGAGATAAAATGTCAGAAAGCGTGCCAGATAGAGTGAATATATGTCTGGTAGCATGTCAGAATATATGCCAGATAGAGCATCAGAAAACATGAGACATGAAAATGCCAGATATCAGATAGCATAGCACGATAGATGTCCGATCGCATGCCCAACTGTATGCCAAGTAAATTATGTCAGCTAAAATGCCCGGCTATATGCCAGGTAGAATGTCAGAATGCACGTCATTTAAAATGACTGCTAGTATGTCAACTGCTTTGGCAGATAAGATGTCAGATGTATTGACAGGATCTATCTCATTTAAGACGTCAAGCGTTATGTCAGAATATTTGCCGCGACGGGATCACATGAAGAAAAGAAATTGTGTGTCTTTTTGCTTTCTTGCGTGTGCTCTGTTTGCGCTCTCTCTGTCTAAATTTACCTTAGCTCCCGGGGCTTTGAATGGCAGAGCGTTGGCGCAACACTAGTGCCACCAGGAAGAGACCGAGTAGATTGGGGTTGCTCTGGTGTGGAACTAGAATAAATAAACTTTTTTTGAAACGTGTTCAAATTTTAGCACGCCTATTAGTGACCCCTGCCCGTCCGGGCCCAATGCAGCAGAAGCCTGATTGGCTGCTTGAAAACAAAGCGACGGTGTGTGCATCATTGAACGTTTTCAGGATTTTACCAAACCAGGTCCAAGGCTGCCTGTGCACTTGTATGGAAAGAATTTTGGCACGTTTGGGCTAGACCACCTCAGAATGTTATGAATATTGCCGCCGATGAGAAACCAGAGGATGGCAGCTTAGCCGGTGAGCATTCAGTTCTCCATTCCGCACTTGGGCCTACAGCCAAATTTGGGTGCCTGTCACGGATTCCTAACCCCACTTGGCACTGTGTGTTGAGGTGGTAGGCTTGGTAGGCTTGGTTGGCGGGCCCCACGCACCCACGCTTGGTGGGATAGCCATACGCGCATTGTGGAGTTCAGAGCAGTTAAAAGCTGGACAAGTATTGATAAACAGCGCAGGAGTACACCACACACAAACAGAAAGCGTGCAGAAACAGGCCAGGAATTGCCAGGGCAAGTATTGTTGCTCAGGCATGTGCCGTCACCATTGCGGTCTTGCTGTAGTTTTCTTCTTTGGGCCAATTTTAGTTTGTTGGTCCGCAGAGATGGGCAGCTGTCAGGTATTGCAACTCATTTGTCGTCATAGGGTGGCGAAACAGTTTCTTGTGTCCATATTTTCGTATTGTGTACAGGCCTGGCTTGGTCGCAAAAAATATGCCCCACAAGCCAACTTGTATCATGCAGCTCCAAAGATGCCACTTTCTCCAACATCCATTCTGTTAGTGCGGGTTGCCAAAGGTTGCCATAAATGTCTTTACTTTGTACTCTTTCTACCGACCGTAGTACACACGTGGCATCTAAAGAAATGGGATGAAATCGGCCGGGCCTCAGGTTGAATGGTTGAACCATGAACTTGACGGTCGCCAAAATGCCTGCACCTTAAATTTCCTAATGACCGCGCAGAGACACTTCAGTGACTTGGTTTGTGTGTGATCATGGCTTAAAGGTGCAGCGGCGGAGGAAATGGTCCGCACCATGTCAAACATTGAAGGTTTAGCAGGTGGAGATTCTTTCGACTCATCAGCCCCTTGTTCGCATTCCTTATTTCATCGCCAGGGCCATTTTTGCTCGGCAGGAGTCAGCACCCTGGTTTTTGCAGCTGCTTAGCTAGTAGAGGTGCTGGGTCCACGATGGTGATGAGCGCGTATTATGCAGGACAGACAAGCTTCTTCGGTGACAACACTCCCCTTCCAATCGAGTCCGGTTATGCCATTATTCTTGGCTTCGGAGCTTTCTTTTCGGTGTTGACGACAATTTTGGTGTACTTGGACAAGTATGCCAATGGCACGGAGCACACATCTGAGTTCTTCAACACAGCAGGCAGAAGTGTGAGGACAGGTCTAACTGCATCCGTGATTGTCTCGCAATGGACTTGGGCAGCAACATTGTTGCAGTCTTCCAATGTGGCTTGGAATTACGGTGTCTCTGGGCCCTTTTGGTATGCTAGCGGGGCAACAATCCAAGTGACTTGGCGATTAAGGTGGCCAAACCTGGGGGCTTGCATTCTGCCTTGTCTTGTCCGAAGATCCAATGACACGCAATGATTCAAAGCTTGAGGGTAACAAATTCAAACACAGCCCACCAAGAAATCACAGACAAACCATAAGAATTGACCCAAGAAGGATCAACAAGCACTGCTCTTACCACTGGCGAGGTGCAGGCAGGCCATACAAGGGTTGGTAGTTTCAAATTAAAAAATGTGGCCTGTCATGGCTTAACTTCAACATATGATCTCACCGGGAATACTGCCTAGACATGGTTTCCACCTGATCTTTCGGTTAATATGTTCCCGTCATTTCCCACGTCTCCCGACGAAGTGGCCCTTGTTGTTCTTTCCATGGCAGGTCCGCAATCCCAGAGCGCCAGTGCGCTGAGGTTTTGCTCTTCGGCACTCTGGCAATTGAGGTCAAGCGCCGGGCACCCACAGCTCACAGAGTCTGTGAGATGGTGCGTGCCAGGTGGGGGAAGGGTGCCCACATCACATTCCTTATCTTTGCTCTATTGGCAAACGTCATTGTGACTTCCATGTTGCTGCTGGGCGGGGCCGCCACGGTGAACGCCTTGACGGGTGTCGACACCAACCTTGCATCCTTCCTTATCCCGTGGGGGGTGATTTTGTACACAGCGGCAGGCGGCCTGAAAGCCACATTCATGGCTTCCTACCTGCACGCGGCCATCATTTTCATTGTGCTGGTGATTTGTGTGTACACGGTGTACGTAAAGAATTTCTCGTCTGACTTCATTTATGAGAGACTGCAGACGGTTGCTGGCTACAGCACAGCTCAATGTCAGTCCATCTTCAGCTCAGGTGGTACTACATTCTTTGAAGCTGGCAAGTATGCGTGCGGCCCTGTGCCAGAGAACGAGGGGGGCTCGTACTTGACCATGCTTTCAGGCGGTGGTGCCAAGTTTGGTATCATCAATATTGTGGGCAACTTCGGCACTGTCTTCGTAGACCAATCCTACTGGTAGTCAGCCATCGCAGCCAAGCCCACTAGTGCTCACAAGGGCTACTTCCTTGGCGGTTTGGTTTGGTTTACGATTCCTTTTGCTTTGGCCACATCTTTGGGCCTCTGCGCCGTGGCCTTGCAGCTTCCAATCTCATTTTCTGAGGCCAGTAGCGGGCCGGTGCCCCCAGCAGTTGCTACACACCTTTTCGGAAGTTTTGGGTCTGTGATGATGGCTGTGATGCTCTTCATGGCCATCACTTCCACTGGCTCAGCAGAAGGCATTGCAGTGTCTTCTCTAGTGACTTATGACATTTATAAGACTTACTTGAACCCCCAGTGCACAGGAAAGCAAGCTCTCCTGATTTCCAAGATTGTTGTGGTTGTGTTCGGTCTTTTGATGGGTGGTCTTGGGGTGGCCTTGAACTACATGGGCTTGAACCTGGGTTGGGTCTACAAATTCATGGGCAACGCAATTGGTTCTGCAGTGGTTCCTTTTTGGAATCTGCTGATGTGGAAGAAAGCTAACGCAAGAGGAGCCATTGTGGCCGCTTGGGGTGGAATGATTTTGGCTTTGGCCACTTGGTTGGCCGTTTGCCAGGTAGAGTTCGGCGAAATCACGATTGACAACCTTGGCACCCTGAACCCAAACTTGGCTGGAAATGTTGTGGCCTTGGCATCTTCTGCCATAATCCACGCTGCCTTCTCATTCGTCAGCCCGCAAAACTACGATTTCGATTCTATGGGCGAGATCGAAATGTTGGAACATGACATGAGCGGCCTTGACGAGCAGGATTATACCACTGAGTTCTTGGATGCTGCCAAGTGGTGGATTCAGAAGTGGGGCTGGGGCTTCACGATCCTCATGGTTCTGATTTGGCCCTTGCTTTCCCTGCCGGCTGGCGTGTTCACGAAGGACTTGCTGAGATGCCTCAACATCTCAAGCACTTGCACTTGGTAGTCCTGTTTGCTGCTTGTTGCATGACTGACCATAAGACACAATTTTCACGGCGTTGCCGTTTTAATCGCCCGCGTCGCATCTCTTTTGAAATCCGTGCCAGGACTACTTTTCATTCTGGGTATTCATAAGCATTGCTTGGAGCTTCGTGGCCACATTCGTGATCATCGTTCTGCCTATACAGGAGTCCATGGATTCTATCCTGGGCGTTTGCTGCTGGATGTTTGGGAAAGAAGCGCCCAAGGCAGAGAAGACTGCCGAGCCTACAGGTGCTGACTTGTGAGCAGGCCTAGAAAACGTGTTAATTAATGCCGCAGGTGAGTTTTGTGCCTATCACTAGTTTTGGGACGTGCTCCTAGGTTGATTTGCAAAGGCGATGAAAGGGTGAAGCTTCGCTCGCCTATTACCATGGGTTTGCCTCTTTTGCCGCAAGCGTAATCAGTTGGCCCATCCGTGAGGCGTTGTGATTTTCCTCCTTCGGCTCAATTTGCTGGGGCCGGAGCAGCGGAGCTTGTTGCACCTGGCCCTGGGCGCAAAGCGCCACAAGCAAAGTCCGGAGATGGCAGCGCGAGAAGACAGAAAAGCATGCAGGACGGTTTGCGAGGGGCTTCCTTTTCAAGTTTGTTTTTAAGGTGCGGAAGCTTTTTTCCCATAGGTGGATTGTTGGGGGCATCACCAGTTCAGAGCTGCGGTTCCCTACAAGCTGGACATATACGCAAGAATTGACTTGGCCTCATCTAATAGGGCATGACGCAAGAGCAAGAGCAAGGGTGAAACACAGAGCGATTACACTGATTACACTGAGGAAGGTACGTTGCCGCGTCTCTTGCACACCTGAAGAAGATGGCCACCTATGGTAATTATCTCCTTGGGAATTCACCTAGATAGTTCGGACCTGACTCTGCAATTACACAATCACGTGTCCTAAGTCCTGGGAAATACGACCCCAGAGACGGCATTTACAGAACAAGGGGTATCGTTCGTTGCCTGGGTTGTTTTAGTTGGCCTTGGCTGGCCAAGGTTTGAGGCCAGGCACGTCAGCAGCACCTCGTCAGAGCAACCTCTTGCGTTGAAGGAAAACAAAATCAAAATCAAAGCCATGCTTTGCGCGGGGCTGCTGGCCCAGCTTCTGTGTAGATTCAGTGTAGGTGTTATTTTTGTTACAATGAGACGGTGCTTGACTTTTTGCCCGAATGATGCGGCGAAGGGGTCGGGTGTCTTACATGAAATCGGTTGCAGTGACGCAACTTTTATGCAAAGATGCGACTTGCATGGCATCGTATGTCGTATGTGAAGATGTGACCTGCATGGCATGACACGGATGCAGTGCATGAGTCAACCCGCCATTTAAGGTGTGAATGTCTAGATGCCTTGATTTAACAGCACGTGTGAACAGGCATGTTCGGCATGTTTGACATGCAAGGCTTTGCAAGATGACTTAGAAGATGGGTGTTGGCGTTGTTTCCTTGCTTTGCAACGTGCTGCTTGGGTATCCAGATGCGCTACACAACTTTCCAGGCTTGCGATTTCATTTTCTTACGCGATCTTTCATGTACCCGGCAACCGACTTCGCACTTGGCAATGTACTTGGCCGCCTACTTAATTTAGAATGACTTGCGGAGAACCATTTGCTTAATCTCACTTGCATAGGGTGAATTAGCATACCACTTGCACTGGATTGTTTGTGCAGCACTTGCCTAGAATTTCTTGCGTAGCTCTTGCATAAGATTGCTTGCCCAGCACCTGCGTAGGGTTACTTGGGTAGTGTTAACCTGCATTCAATAAGATTACGAAATCTCTTTGATGCAGTTGTCTGGTTCGGCGACATCAATCAGAGGCCTACACTCTCAACAGATTTCTGCCGTTTGATTGCTCTTGCTGTCGCGCGGTTGCGATCTGGGAGCCCCATAGATCGCGTCTGTCGTTTGCTTAACCCGATCACATAGTGGGTCGGGTGCGTTGCATGGTGCTGGCGATTTTGATGCGTCACATGGTGCTTTACCCGGTCACTGGGGTTCAAACAGCGTGTGCTTAACCTGTTCTGGGCATAGGTCATCTTGCGACATGAAAAGGAAAATTAAAGGACCGGATAACCCCACATGCCAACTTCTTCCCATGATCACCAAGCAGATGTGAAAATGAGATGGGAAAGGCAGGAAAGAAAGGAGATGGTGCGAGACAGGTTGGGTGAAAGTTGTGTGACAAAGTTGTGTGTGAAAGAGTTGCGTGTGTGTGTGTGTGTGTACCATCTGTATAGATGTAAAACTTCAATTTATTGCAGGGGGGCAACAGCCCATCTTCCTATGTTGCCCAACGAAGCTACGGAAGATGTGGTGGATGGGTTCATGGTCGCATGAACCTGTACCTGCATTATTTATGTATATATATAGTCCCGCCCCTGGGCGCATATAAGCCGCAGCTGGGGGGGACATATATCTTATCGCTGTTGTTTTATACGGTCAATGTCTACTGTGATTATACGTCTATATATATATATATTCTTATTAACTTTCATTCTTCGTGTCAGTTTACTGTTGGTGTTTTTTGCACGTTTGTTACATTCCACATCAAAATTCGCAATGACTGTTCTGAGCAAGTGTGTGATTCATGCTGGATTCGTCAAGGTGGCATGAACCCTTCGGGGAATGCTTTTCTAAGCAAAATGTGGATGCAACGACCTGATGTCTGAATTTACACATTTTGAGTTAGTAATCCGTTTAAGTAAAGTGAAACAGCTGGCCATTTTTCGGGTCTCACTTTGTCGGTCGTGAAGTGCGGGTTGAAACAGCTGGCCGCCGTACCTGGCGTCACCATTTCGTCTGAATCTCAAGGGTTGGTAGACTTCAGCCGCGACAACATTTCCTTTTCCAACTTTACCCCAGAGAGCACGGTGCTCAACAACTTGCAGGATGTCACATGATCAGGTTAGGCTTCAGGACATGCTTGCAGGTATGGTGACTCTTCTTTTTCGGTCGTTGGTGAGGTTCAATTGTGCACCTAATTCAAGGGTTGACTACGTAAGCTGTCCACAGGGCTGACGTGACATTTAGGCCTCTGAGCCTGCAACGAGGGGAGACTTGCATGATTGTGTGGATGTACCATTTCATTAACTAGTCCCCCATGGGTCCCCTATTTCATGTCTTCTCCTCTCTACAGGTAGGTTGGGTCCTTCGCGTGCTGAGGTAGGCGTAGGTTTTCGCCGTGTTAGGTTGGTTCAGGCGCTTCCGTCTTCCCCCCCCTCCGCTGGTCTTGTTCCGTTGTCCGTCGGCCTCCGCTTTTCTTTTTCCCGTGCCTTTTCAGGGTTTGCCCGTTCCGGGCCAGGTGTGTTGTGTTGGTGTTCTCTCTGGCCCTCTTCTTTTGCGTTCCCCTCTTCGCGTTCTCGTTAAGTAATTTTCATTTCATTTTCATTGCCATCTCATTTTCATTTTCATTTCATCTGCCCCGCTGCGGTGGGGCGTGTGTGTGTACCATCTGTATAGATGTAAAACTTCAATATATTGCAGGGGGGCAACAGCCCATCTTCCTATGTTGCCCAACGAAGCTACGGAAGATGTGGTGGATGGGTTCATGGACGCATGAACCTGTACCTGCATTATTTATATATATATATAGTCCCGCCCCTGGGCGGATATAAGCCGCAGCTGGGGGGACATATATCTTATCGCTGTTGTTTTATACGGTCAATGTCTACTGTGATTATACGTCTATATATATATATATGTATTCTTATTAACGTTCATTCTTCGTGTCAGTTTACTGTTGGTGTTTTTTGCACGTCTGTTGCATTCCACATCAAAATTCGCAATGACTGTTCTGAGCAAGTGTGTGAACCATCTGAAGACATGTAAAACTTCTAATTTTATCTGTTTCTGCAGGAGGTGGATGCATGGTCTTGCAGTCATCCACCAACGAAGACACAGCCTTTCCATGGTGATATGACGAAGGGATGCCTTTGTCACGTACCTGCTACCGATTTCATTTCATTTACGCTTCATTTTCGGAAATGGGCAGTGGTTAACCCAACAACCACCATGCCGTTTTCAAACAATTTGATTTTACTTCTTGCATGTTTTCGGAATCTGGCAAGCTGGGAGCGATAAACCGTGGTTTATTATGTAGGGGGGGGTACTCCTCCAATAGTCATAATCCAATACTTAAATGGTATCCCCCCAATTAACCAGCCTAAGGGTTTATTAATCCAGGGTTGACATTGCTGGGTATGGCGATGGCTACTTTCACTGTTTTTTCAGGTCCTTTCAGTGACCTACTCCAGTCAGGTTAAAGGGATTGTTTTTGCACGTCAGATGCATTCCACAACAAAATTCGCAATGACAGTTCTGAGCAAGTGTGTGACTCATGCTGGATTCGCCAAGGTGGCATGAACCCTTCGGGGAATACCTTTCCAGGTAGGAACTTCGATCCTCCGATCTGATCTCTGAATTCACAGTTTTCAACCTACTAATTCGTCAAGTGAAACAGTCGGCCGTTTTCACTGTTTCACCCGTCGATCGATGTGTTGAACAACTGGCCGCCGTACCGGGCTTCGCCTTCTTTCGCTTTTCACCCTGTCAATTGTCGCTGGTTGAACCACTGGCCGCAGTACTGGGCTTCATTATTTCCTTTTGTTAGCCGTGGAAACCTCCTTTTTCCAACGTTGCTCAAGAGACAGATCACTGTCACTAGTCTTCATACAACATGTGAAGTACAGGCACAGGTCATGCCTTTCAGGTGTGGTACTTGCTTTCTTTTGTTGGCCGTTGGTGAGGTTCAATTGTGCACCAATCCGAAGGGTTGAACACTTAAGCCGTTTATAGGCTTGATCTGGCCACCAAGGGCCTCGAGCCTCATCACGAATTTTGCATTGGTTTGTGGATGCATCATGTGGTCTAAACTGTTGGCATCTAGGTTGCCTGACTTTGCTCCCACTGCCATGTTTCCATTGCCGTGGAACTCTCGTGCTTGGATGGGCAATACTTCGAATGCCCCAGATCAGATGTGGAATTCTATGTGGAATCCGTCAACGACGGCCCCCCCCCCACATCAAGTTATTCCTGGGCAATTTTGCGGAGGGGATCTCAACTCCACCAACCGGCGCAGTCTCAAGCTCAGACTCAGGCTCAGATTAACGCATTACAACAACAGAATGCGTTGCTCAATCAACAACTGGCGAGCCAATCAATCTCCCATATCCAACACCTTCAACAATTGATTCCACAACAATCGCCTCCACAACAGACACCTCCACCACAAGTGCCTGTTCAACCTGAACCATCTTCACCGCAG